TATATAAAATAAATAATTATACTTGGCTGCTATGCATATATAATAAATCAGGGACATTTTTCATAGGAGAAAAGCTTCTATACAGCTGCTTGCTGGACCAAATATAGACAGACAGTTTGAATCCAAGCTACGGTGAATCCATTGCAACCTCATGTTTACCTTACCGAGAAATCCATTTAGGCATTGATCTTAATATTTTTCTAAAACTCATTTGTAAATTGTCATAGGCAAGTGCAATCAAACTGTCATTTTGTCATGCAGAAGAAAGCAACTTGCTGAAAGTTGAAAAAAAAAAAAGATGTGACTGTTTAAACATGTTTCCCGCTGTGGTACCAGATAGACTTGTGTACTGCACATTTCTTGCTATAATTAAGCAAAATATCAACTGAGAACATTGTCTATTTTATATGATACTTTTGGTGATAGTATTAGTTATCTTATACATCTGTTTAAATTGCAGTATGTGGGCTCTATAAATTGCTTTCACTCATTATGTTCTCTGTCTTTCAACCTTTTATATCTCTTTAGAGAAAATCCTCTTTAAAAACGCTAACACAACTTTTACCTGCATACAATTTAACAGTATCATAACCCTTTCACTGACAAAACAAATATGTGATATATCATCTATTTTCTGACTCCTATTTGCTAAGTACAGGTGCATATGGTGAAATTGTAGTTCTTCTGTGGTCATAGCTGCTTCATGGCATGGCCACTTAGTAGGTATGCAAAAAATAACAGGTCTGATAATACAGGAGTGTGTACAATGTATACAAACAAGGTCGTCAGAAGTATACATTTGTGAAGGTGTCTGGTATGATTGGATTTGAAACCATTTTACACAGCTTGTTATTTTAAAACAATATCCTTCTCTTTAATAGGCCATATTACTGACTCTTTCCTTCTGTTTTATCCCTGTTAGGTATTTACTTCTGTCTCCACGCATTTCTATACTTCAGTTTTCCCTAGGCCTCACACCTCTCAATTTCTGACCCATGCCTTACTTCATTTCTCTTTTTATGTTCTTATCTGTATGCCTCACACTTCCCCCTTCTGCCCAGCACCTGATGTGTATCTAAAGCCAATATATATAATATAATACATTGCAGCTTACTAATCCTTACATGTTTTGACTGCATTAGTTTTCTTTTTTCAGGCTTTAGTTTCCCTTTATATTCACCTGGGGATCCTATCAGTAACACACTTCCTATCCTATGGTGAACATGCTCACTAAATGTACTATACCTATGGGTTGCCACTCTAGAACAGAAAATATGGTAGGACTGCAGAACACCTCTTCTCCTCAACTTAGAAGGGACATGTTTTGTAATTTGTTTTTTTTTTCCCTTTTATTTTCACCTTGTGATCCTGTCAGGATTTTATCTGCAAATGAACAGCTTTTTTACTCTAGGACAGGAAATATGTTAGGACTACACAATACCGCTTCCTATCCTCTTCTCCATAATGTAGAAGGGACACATTCATTAGTCTTCTTCTTTTTTTTTGCACCTGGTGATTTTATCAGTTATACATTTCCTGTCCCTGGGTTACAATGTTCTCTCACTGTACTGTATCTGTAGATGATCAGCATTATCAGTCCGAAAGAGGAGTGCAGAACACCTCTCCTCCAACAGTGAAAAAAACAATTAGGGAATCTGGATAAATATTGCAAAGGAACAGGACTGGGGAGCAGTAGTTAATAGAATGGATTAAGAGAAATATGAAAAGAAATAGGAAACACAGTGGATATATTGGTATATGTTTAGTCACTGTATATATGTGGCTGTTGGTGCTAGTAGAGTAGGCCATAATTTGCGTTCTGGCCTAAACAGAGTTGGGCTGCTTTTGGAAAAGTCTAGCAAGTCTATCTATCTATCTATCTATCTATCTATCTATCTATCTATCTATCTATCTATCTATCTATCTATCTATCTATCACTATCTTTCATGTGCTTATATATTTAGACCCATTATTTGTTCACTTAAATAATACTTAAGTGTTTTAGTGTCTGCCTGCTCTTCCATTTTTTTCAGTTATGGTCGAACTTCTTGTTTGTAAGATTTGGGGCAGAGCTGGAAATATTATATATATATATATA